CGTGCACCTGCACACCAGCCTGCCGCCCGCTCGGGGCTGCCCTCGTGCCCCAGCTGCTCGGGGTCAGGGACTCCTAGCCCAGGCAGGTTGGGGCAAAGGTAGGTTGACAGTTGCTCGTATGGGCAATGCTAGAGTGAATAATACTCTGTGTTTTGTGTATTCACAACTGTCAGCCGACTTCTCCCCACCCTGTAAAATGAACTCATTCAACCTTAGGTGCGTAAGGTACGAAGTAGGTTTTTGTGATTCAGCCTACACGGTCGGGAATTGGTCTCGTCTGTAAATCTAACCAGAGATATTTTTCCTTTTGAGATTTATACTTTTCTCCTAGGGTTTAACCTAGAGAATGACTTCCTAACGAAGGCTAAAAAAGAGTCATTAATGGCCCCATTCACCCAAGATTAGCAATACAGTCTTTATCCTTCTGATTCTCTGCTAGGGAGGGGCCAATAATTATTGCTTACAACTTTATTCTGAACTCTATTAAATGTCGTCTTGATGTTCTTATAAGTGAACTGGAAATTATTGCTGCCGAAAACGAGATGGAACTTGAAAGATAAAGGAGCCAGAATCACTCACCAATCCTTCCCCCAGCATAGTTCTCCTTTCTGACACGCAATAAAAATCACCGCCCCCGGAGGCACACACACACTGATCTCACTGCTGTTCAAGCTTCCACTGGGCTTCCCCTGTTTCGGTTTCTCCTACAGAAGGTACAACATATGTTGCAGGACAGAGTTTGTCCACCCCTTGCTAGCAGAGCCAAGACTTGCAGTGGGGAAATATTGTCTGTTTTATTATGAATGGCAGCATCCAGGAGAACAGGAAGATAATGTAGGACAAACTCACAAGACACCATGGGCTTAGGGGTTCAGCGTCGTGCTGGGAGCTTGTTGGCCAGAAGTGAGGTCAGGCTAATCAGTCAGGTCTTCAGGGCTTGAGGACAGCTCTGAGGTTTTTTCCCAACATCCCTCTGCCTGGTCCAGTGGGAAAGTAGCCAGGGGGTGGGTGGTTCCGCCTTAGGGGTCAGGACCTGAAGCAAAACTTAGGCAAGATGTTGTCTTTAGCCCGCCAGAGGTCTGGACCTTGTGACCATTAGTCAGGGGTGGACTACTGTCTTCTGCTGCCCTACAGGTTGCTAATTAACTGGGAAAGGCTGGGTCTCGGAGGGGTATAGACAGAGATTAGTTTTAGCACTAGGATTTAGAGCTAAATGTTATCAAACTCAGTTTCATACTTTTGACCATGTATTTGTCTCCCAATACAAATTCCCTGAGAATCAAAAAGCAATTGTTACAAATACCCCCACTGTCCCATTTTCCAGTATATTTGATCCGTAAACTTTTAAACTATAATACGAGGCAGTTGTTTATTTGTATCCCATTCTCTTGTTGGAATTTAGTTAACATGACACAAAAAGCATGTCATCCAAAAGTAGGAGCAGCTGCAATTGTTTTTGGTGGGAATACCTGCTTTCCAAGGAAGCTTAGACAGTTGGGCAATAGGAACGTCACTTTAGTAGACAAAAATGGAATGAACTAATATCGATAATTAGAACTGTAACATTTTACACAAATAAAATACATAGACAATTGTGTGTTTTAACCAAAAATATTGAGTTCCCCCCCCCAAAAAAATGTATACACACTTTAACAGCTGATAGTTCAACTGATGTTTCTTTTCAGATTGAACCCATTGGAATTAATAATTAGTCAAAGTCTGTATACATTTTTGGGGGACACCCTGTATGTCAAAGAAAGAAGTCTACTGATTTCATTTGACATACTAGATCAGGGGTGGGCAAACTTTTTGACTCGAGGGCCACAGTGGGTTCTTAAACTGGACCGGAGGGCCGGAACAAAAGCATGGATGGAGTGTTTGTGTGAACTAATATAAATTCAAAGTAAACATCATTACATAAAAGGGTAAGGTCTTTTTTTTCAATAGTTTTATTCATTTCAAATGGGCCGGATCCGGCCCGCGGGCCGTAGTTTGCCCACGGCTGTACTAGTCAGTATAATTTGTCCATAATTTACTTTGTACCAAAACTTTTAATAGGTAATGCTGATTCATCAGCTTCAGAAAATTGGCACATAATAACCAAAGCTACAGTAGGATGGATTTGTAAATGCAAATGCCATTTGCGAGTGTATGCATACACCTGTGCATGTGCACACACATATGAATACACAGAAGATCATTTCTGGCAGGGCATTTTCTACCTAAAGTTAAGTTCACTCAGTCTTAGGGGTACTAAATTAGAATAAAAAATTATATAGTGAACATGTAACTAATACAAAGAGAACTAATGGTCCTTAAGGGATATTTCCATCAACCTAGTGTAATCGGATAGATGAAATGCCCTTCAGATTCATCTGTAATTAAACCTAATAATGATTCAGACCATTCCGGCCTGTTGTTTTTTCCTTTACAGCATTCATAAAGAGTTTTCTGCTAGTAAACACATTTTTACCATGTCTGCCAGCAAATGTGCATATTTTATAAAGTTCATTTAAATGAATAACTGTAACACCTAGAGCATCAACTAGAGATAGGATATTGGCTAAATAAAGTAAAACGTGTAAATTTATTAGAACCCTAACTGTAGTTCTTGAATAAAGGACTGACTAAGACTCCAGTGCCTCATTATGATTAACTTGTCATGAAAAGATGGCTAATGGTGGACCCCTACCAGGAAACAGTAGCGAGGTATTCACCATACTCTATTGACATCTCTCTAAACAGGTATCTGTGGAGATATGAGAACAGAGGTACAAGCATGAACTATGATAAGTGTAATGAGTGTCCCTTGTTTCCAAATTCAGATTTGGTTGTAGCATAATATTATAAGCCCTACCTTCCCCAAATATTTGAATTTGCCATGTCTCTTTTTAGGTGTACTCATCTTTTGCTACAGGACCTAGACAAAGCGATGGAACGTTCTATGAATTTCGTACCTATTCTCTTAAGCCTTCAAAGATGAATCAGTTTCTGGAAAATTTTAAGAAAAACGTACACCTTCGGACAGCTCACTCTGAATTGGTTGGATACTGGAGTGTAGAATTTGGAGGCAGAATGAATAAAGCATTTCATATTTGGAAGTATGGTATGAGTCCTCAGCTTAAGTATTCAGTGCAGATTTTTATTCTGTTAGTTGTTACACGTAACTTAGTTCTTGGATCTACGTTACCATAAATACACACAGGTTAAACTTTAAAAAAACAGAACAACAACAAAAAATCATTGATTACTCCTCCCAGTGCGAGGTATACCTCTGAAAACCTCTTGCTCAAATCTTTATGTTACCATCAATGGCATCTTATATTTCACATCATAAAATTGTGAGCTAGGTTTTAATTCTCAGAAAAAAATTATACAATGGATTATTATAAAGATGCTTTCTGAAAAATTTAAAGCAGTAATTGTAAAAGCACAAGTGGGTACAGATCATAAAAGGAGAGGAGAGTACTTTTTATTTATCGTTGAAGCTACAGCTGGATGACAGGATTGTAGTGGAAACAGATGAGATATTTAGGAGCTTGAGGGTGGGTAGTAGCGGTTGATGTGGATGATCGTTAACTTCTAGGCATCACCCAACTCTGAGATTTAATAATTTGTTATGTTTATGGAACCGCTTTTGTTTCATTTGTACACCCCAGGGTTTTAGGGAATTCAGTATTATGCTGCACAGAGTTCTCCCCTATGGAAGCTGACCTGCCCCTGGTTTAGAAGAGGAAAGAGAATAGGTTACAGGAATCCCCAAAATGTTCGGTACTCCAGTGTCAAATCTTTGTGACACTGGACTTGATGATATCCAAAGAACTTTTAATAATTTCACTTAGTGTTTGGTCATATAAAGTACTTTATTTAATATGAAAGGTACTCATTCTCTACTTAACATGGCCATTGGTTAGGGATTTTCCCTGTTGTAATAGAACAAACCCAATCAAAACACAATTTATGCTTTAATGTGTAAACAAGTAGAACTGTGTTTCATTTAAAAATTACTTAAGGTCCTGGTTTAACTGACTTAAGCTCTGAGGTAGATGTTATTCCTCACCCACAGCATAAACCATGAAAACTTTCACTATCCATCTTATGAGGCCCTAATAGTAAACATAGTACTTGGTCCATATGTTAGTGAATACATATACCTGTTTGGGTAACAAACAGAAGAGAAATAATACTGGGTAAAACAGTAGGTGACAGTCAGATAATCAGCATTATTTCTTTGGAAGCTATTTGTTCAAAGAAGATGAAGCTGTAAACTTGCATATTTTTAAAGATTTTTTTAAATTGATTTTTAGAGAGAGAGAGTGAGTGAAATATCTATTGACTGCCTCCTGCACGGCCCCACCAGGAATTGAGCCTGCAACCCACACATGTGCCCTGGCTGGAAATTGAACCAGCAACCTTTTAGTGCACGGGATGATGCACAAATAAGGGAGCCACACCAGCCGGGGCTGTAAACTTGAATCTTAATTTCATTTATGTTAAATTTAAGACCTGACCACCATCACCATCACAACCACCAAAGGAAAATAGTATTTTCCTAAACTGGCAATATAAATGTCTCAGTTAAAGTAATAAGAATAGTTCATATAAATTGAGTACTAACCAGCTGCCAAACACTGTTTCAGCTCCTTTCATGTGTTAAATCATTTCTTCCTCATAACAATCCTGTAGGTATAAATAAAGCATTATCCCCATTTCACGAGTAAGAAACTGACAGATTCGGTAACTTACCGAAGCCACACAACTACCTACTAAGTGGTAGAGTCTATAAAGTCCACTCTATGGCGTTATCATTAGCTGTTTCCATTTCTACACCCCTTTTAGGACATGAGAAATTGGGGATAGATGTCCCATCTACTTGGTGTGGGGAGGGGTCCCCAGTGATTTAACACAGTGTTCCTGTGTGGCCTTGATAAACATGCTGAATTAAATGAAATCCAAAAAAGATCTAGATGATTTTAAATAGAACGTTTATATTTTTCTTACTCCCTTTCTTCCCATAGATAATTTTGCTCATCGCATTGAAGTTCGGAAAGCCTTGGCCAAAGATAAGGAATGGCAAGAACAATTCCTCATTCCAAATTTGGCTCTTATGGATAAACAAGAGAGTGAGATTACGTATCTGGTACCATGGTGCAAATTAGAAAAGCCTCCAAAGGAAGGTAAGTCCATTCCTCCTAGTCACTGAGTTTTGATGTATAAAATACTAAAGACTTGGAACTATAAAAACTAAAGTTTCTTAGGGGGAGAAAACAATAAGCCTTCGTTTTAGAGAGTAATATATTGTGATTATAGATGTGGAATGAATTTGAGCTCTTTGCTTCTCATTAAAACAATGAACATTAGCAGTGTTTTTCCAATTTGGAAAAAAAAAGCTCTTAACGTTTTGGTATGAATATAAAAAGTTGACATGGTATAGAGAGTAAAGGTTGAGAAGTTGGGGATTTAGAGCAAACAAGTATAGACAGTGAAGGATAATGTATGAAATTTTGTCATGGTTCAATATTTTTTTATACAAATTATAGCTACTTAAGTGAATCTTTGTTTATAAGACTGGCTGGGGGAATGAATTAAAGTGTTGAGCTCTATTACTATATTTTAACTTTTTTGATTTCTTCTTTCTTATATCTCAGTTTGAACATAATTACTAAAGATTTGTCTCCTTGCTAATTTAACTTCCTTGCAGACTTTAAGGAAATACTATTTACCTCAACCTAGTTTTAAACAAAAGTCAGATTTTTTTAAAAGCATAAACTAATTTTATAGTGTCATCTTAGATTACAAGAGATTTGAAAAGTCTTATTTGGCCTGGCCGGCATGGCTCAGTGGTTGAGCATCAACCTATGAACCAGGAGGTCACAGTTCCATTCCCAGTCAGGGCACATGTCCGGGTTGTGGGCTCCATCCCCAGTGTGGGGCATGGAGTGTGGGGCATGATTCTCTGTCGTCATTTATTTTTCTACCTCTCTCTCCCTCCCACTTCCTCTCTGAAATCAATAAAAATATATTTTTAAAGAAAAGTCTTATTTGGACCCTTGCCCACTAGCTTTCAGCATTATCTAAATGAACTAAGTGGCTTCTAGAACAGGGTCAAGTCTTGGTTCTCTTCCCCTGTGTTGTTCATAATTCTTTAATAGCTTTATACTTTTTTCCCTTTTTCTTCTCAAATCTACTTGTCCCCTAGTTCCTTTCTCTCTATCTGCCCCATTCCTCTTACCAGAGGTAAAATGCTTTCCAAATGTGTACCTGGATATTCAGGAACAAACAACTATCTCCTTCAATTTTTTAGCTTTTTATTTTTCTCTCAAAATCTCAGATACCACTTTGGGTCCATTGTTTGCTTGCTGTTCCTGTTAGAAAATGGAATCCTATAGGGGGAAAATTACACAAACAAAAAAATGTATTTTCTCTCAGAATTGGAGGAAGAAGGAAATATAGGTCAGAAACTACTTTTCTTATTCGGTTCTTACCTGCAAGTGTAGACTTGGACAGGTCAAAATTCCTAATCCTATAACAAATTCTCAATATTTGCTTTATTTTATAGATTAAAAACATTTCAGATAATAGCTTGCAATAGCTTCCCTTTGGTTTTGTACGATAAGCTTAACAACTGACCCTTAAACATGGACAAGGACTTTCTAAACATAGAAGCAAGGAAAAATAATGCAAAGAATTCATAATGTGTCCACATAAACATGTATACACATATGATCCTTCAAGTTTGTATACATATGTTAGCCTCCCACTGGAGCCATACTCACCTGATGAGAAATTTCTTGAATATCTTTTGTAAAATACTTATTTTTCTCCCTATTCTAGGAGTCTATGAACTGGTTACTTTTCAGATGAAACCCGGTGGGCCAGCTGTATGGGGTGACACATTTAAAAAGGCAATTAATGCCCACGTCATTCTAGGCTACTCCAAACTAGTTGGAGTTTTCCACACAGAATATGGAGCACTCAACAGAGGTACAGTTGTCCATTTCTTCTATGAAATTGCAAAATGTATTGGTGAACTACCAAGTCGCTTGGGGTCAGTTTGTCTTGCTTTTTCATTATGGCATATATTTTAATTTTTATTAAGTTTTTAAGTTTTTCTTTTATTTTAAATGTTGAAAGAGCCCTGTTTTACTTCTTATCTATATAGTATGTTAACACTTTATGAAGCCTGTTTCAAAACTGAATGTTGTTTTCCATGGTACAGCAGAATGATAAAATTAAAATCTGCAAGGAGCCTCAAGAAAATATCTGTTCTTTTTCTCCCCTCTAAATATACTTTTATTGGTTTTTAAAAAATAACATTAGTTAGGGGTAGAGATAGTGTCTCAGAACGGAAAAAATATTACATATTTTTAAAATACTAAAAACATGGACATGACCAAAGGGAGAAACAAACCTTTTCCATACTGTAAAGATAATACTGTTAACACTTTGGTTTTTGTATTCCTGTGTTCATATATATAAGACCAAAATGTCATTTTATTTATATATATTTATGTCAAATGTAATGCATATGCATGATTAATAATGACTTTCTAACACTCTGGTGTGAGGCTATACAGATAGCAGAATAGTAATATGCTGAGTATAAGTCAGCACATCATTTCTGGAGGACGTGTATAACACGTACATTGTACACATATAAGTACATATTAGATATACTCTTTGGTCCTCTCAATTTGAATTTTGGGAGTCTATTTTGAGGAAATAATCAGATCCAAACTGTTTGGCTTTGAATCCCAGCTCCACCACTTATAACTTAGCCATGTTGAAGGAGTTACTTAACCTCACTGTGCCTTCCATTGCTTATCGATAACAACCTACAACCTAAGATTTTTATGGAGCAGACCTGGCACAGAATAAGCACCCATTAAATGTTAGTAGTCATCTTTGACAGTGTTAGTATTATAGATACACATGTAGGTGCTATTCAAAGGAGGTTTATATGCCAGCATTGTCTACAGGAAGGGAACATTGGCAACAATGGGCATGGCACATACATGGTATGTACATAATGTACTTATAGTACACAGATAGACATATATGTCCATCATATATATCACTTATCAGTAAGACCCTAATTTTATTTTGCTCACATTTTTTTAAAGAAAAAAAAAAGACTAAACATTAATAGAGGTTTTCTCTGGGCAGTTAAAATTATGCTACTTTTTATTTTCTTCTTTGTATCGTCCAAATTTTCCATAATAATCACTTTTTTATAATATTGTGGGGTTGTTTTAAAAAAGTAACATGGAGTAGGAAGGAATGAAACCTGAGTCCAGTATTGATTGTCAGTGTCTTTAGTTGTATTACTGTACTTCCCCTGTCCAGTTTTCTGTTTCGTCTATAAAACCAGCTTGTGAATCTGTTTATAAATGTCTCTCCCAAATCTGTGATCCTCTCTGAAATTTATCACTAACATACTCAGTCTTCCCTTTTTGGTACTCACTATTTTGACTTAAAGAATAAGATTTAACCTATCTGATTAACTTTTCTGCATTTCTTCTCTGTAGCCACACCATAGTCTCTAGAATCTTTCTGGTTTCTCTCTGTAGTTCATGTTCTCTGGTGGAATGAGAGCGCGGATAGTCGTGCAGCCGGGAGACATAAGGCTCATGAGGATCCCAGAGTCGTGGCGGCTGGTAAGCCATTTCACTGGGCAGGAGGTACTCTTAGGGCAAATTTGATTTAGTCAGTAACTTTATCTGCCTTCTTATATGATGTATTTTTTTTCCAGTTCGGGAATGTGTCAATTACCTAGTGTCTCAGCAGAATATGCTTCTGATTCCTACATCGTTTTCACCGTTGAAATAGTTTTCCACTGAAATACAAAGCATTTCAAGAACTGTCTTAAGATGTGTCTGCTAATGGTACTTAAATGCTCCCAAGGGTGTCTCACTCTTATTTGAAGAAGGTGGTAAGTTAATTCGCTATGTCTCTGCATTTCTAAAGCCACCTCTGTTCTTTGTCATTGCCACCTCCGAAGGTAGTTCTGTTCATTGTCCCTCCCCATGGCATTTCAGTAGCTATACTGTAGAAATAGTTGCCACTATTTATGATCTTGATTTTTCATTTTTTTTCAAAATATCTCTTATTCTCTATTTTGACGACCCTTTGCTTTATAGCATTTTCTTATATTTAAATGATGTTTTTACATTTCTCTGCCTGACAGTATTTTAAAATTATTTACATGCAATGTCTGTATTTTCAACATGTCTGTTTTTTCTGAGATTTAAAAAAAATAATTTGCCCAGTAAAATTTATTTTGTGATAGCAAAAGGGATTCGTAAAAATATCAGATCAAATGTATTTCTTTACTTTGGGAAAGTGCAGTATCACTGTGTCATCTGTATCAATTATGGTTTTCACATTAATTGTTTGTCACTCTAATTTGGAAAATAATGTAATTAGTTCTCAATGTTAAAAATAACTTCAGAAGACTTGTTTCATATGCTGAAATGTATAAATGTATAGTTAATTTTATTAATTTTGTTCATTTTGGATGACTAACAAAGATACCTGGGACATCTATTAGTTTTAAAAGAGATTTTGTGGTCGTGGAAATGCTTGCCCTAATAAAAGCCTACACATCCATTCTGGATTTTTTAATTTGCATTTTGTACTTATATTATCTTCTTTGGAGTTTTCACCATGTTGCTGTAGGGTATCGACACAGTACTATTTACCAATATAATTGCAAATGTTAAGTTCCATGAAACCAACATGATGGTAATCCCAGAGGAGAGTTTCATTAGTATCACTACAGACACGCTAGGGCAGGGATGGGCAAACTTTTTGACTCGAGGGCCACAATGGGTTCTTAAACTGGACAGGAGGGCCGGAACAAAAGCATGGATGGAGTGTTTGTGTGAACTAATATAAATTCAAAGTAAACATCATTACATAAAAGGGTACGGTCTTTTTTTTTTTAGTTTTATTCATTTCAAACGGGCCGGATCCGGCCCGCGGGCCGTAGTTTGCCCATGGCTGTGCTAGGGATTTCCTTGAAACACCTGAAATTTCCATTTTAGTTGAGTGCCTCTCAGCCTTCTAAAACTAAGTGTGATACTTCTAAGTTCCCTTGATTGTCTATATTTACAGCTGTATTATTTTACATTTCTAAGATATATTGGAAATAATAAATTATGAATTGGCTAAGGGAAAGTGAACAACAACATTAAGTGTGTACAGTTCCTTATGGAAGAAATGTCTAAAGGATTAAAAAACCAAAACAAGCCCTGGCCAGTTTCTCAGTGGTTAGAGCATTGGCCCACAGCCTGAAGGGTCTTGGGTTCGATTCCAGTCAAGGACATGTACCTCAGTTTCAGGCTGTATCCAGCCTCAGTCTTAGGCCCCAGCAGGGGGGCACATGTGGGAGGCAACTGATCGATATCTCTCTCTCTCTCACATTGATTTTTCTGTCTCTCCCCTCCATTCCAATCTCTAAAAAAAATCAATGGAAAAAATATCCTCAGGTGTGGAGTAACAACAACAACAACAAATCAGAAAGGTGAAATGTTGCTTAGGTGCAGCTTATCTATATACTAGAGGCCTGGTGTACAAAATTTGTGCACTCGGCGGGTGGCGGCGGGAATCCTCAGCCTGGCCTGCGCCCTTTCACAGTCCGGGAGCCCTTGGGGGATGTCCAACTGATAGCTTAGGCCCACACCTCTTGGGGAGCAGGCCTAAGCTGGCAGTTGGACATCTTTAGCACTGCCGCAGAGGCAGGAGAGGCTCCCACCACTACCACTGTGCTCGCCAGCCATCAGCCTGGCTTCTGGCTGAGTGGCGCTTCCCCCTATGGGAGCACACTGACCACCAGGGGGCAGCTTCTGCGTTGAGCGTCTGCCCCCTGGTAGTCAGTGCACATCATTGTGACCAGATGTTCCGCTGTTCGGTCAATTTGCATATTAGTCTTTTATTATCTAATCTAATAATAGACAAACAGGGTAATTGACCGTACCTTCACTACGCCTCCCATTGGCTAATCAGTGAGATATGCAAATTAACCGCCAACAAAGATGGCGGTTAACTTGCATATGTAGGTGTGAAGCGGAGCAGCGAAGGCGCTGAAGGCGGTTCCAGCTGGAGTGAAGACCTGGGTGCCGGTTGCCGGAGGAAAACCGGTGCAGTCCCAAGACTTAAAACCACACACGTGCTGATTCATAGTTTTATCTTTTTCCTTGTCATTGCTTCTGAGCCCCAATCTGAAATACCAGCTGCCTTTTTAACACAACCACCTGCCTCGTTCAGGTCACAAACTACAAGTCACTGATAGTTCTCGTTCCCTCATCCCCTACTTGTAGCCCATCAGCTCCTGAATATTCCTCTTTTTCCCTGTGTCTGTTGCTTCCACCCTCCATCATCCTCTTAGCCTTCCTACTGTCCTTTTTCCCCATACAGCCAGCATTCTTTCTGAAAACAGATTAGGTCCAACCACCACCTTGTTTAAAACTTTCCATTGGCTTCTCATTGCATTGACGATAAAATC